AAGAGGGCAGGAAAGAGGAAGACAACAGAAGTGTGTATAGGGGAGGGGAAATGGGAAAATGTGCTCAGGGTAAGAGAAAAGGGGAAATAGAGATGTCGGGGGGGGGGGGGGAAGAGGGAGGAAGATACATGAAGAGGGCAGGAAAGAGGAAGACAACAGAAGTGTGTATAGGGGAGGGGAAATGGGAAAATGTGCTCAGGGTAAGAGAAAAGGGGAAATAGAGATGTCGGGGGGGGGGGGGGAAAGCAGAGGACAGATTAAAAATTAGGCTGGGATCCCTGAAATCCTACCATCTGCTTAGCTGCAAGATTTAGAATAGCCCATCACCCAAATCACCACAGCATATTATCTTTGCAACATAATAATCACTGGAACCCACATGCAGTGATGCGGTGGGTGGGTGGATGGGGGACTCAGTGACCATTTGACTCTTTCACTGTCCTTTGGTGCAGTAAGCCCTATAAACCCGTCAGGAAATGTTTTGCAACTGAGATGCAGCTACATCTGGTGTGGCATACAGCAGAATCGCAGCCGTGGGTGGAATTGCCAGGCCTCTGGGGGTGGCAGGGCCTGGAGTTTCAAGCTGCTATTCTCACCTTATTAGAGATGATGCTTTATAAATTTGGGAATATACATAACTTTGTGGGTGGTTTATATTCTCTTTGAGAACACAGTCAGACACAAACATCCATCCATTTCCCCCCCACCCCTCCCCACGCTCATGCTGACACACACAGAGCTTCATCTTTCTTTTTGTCTGTCACCATCTCTCTCTCTCATGCGCACACACACACGCACATTGTATTGCTCATACAGAGATACAGAAACAAGAGTTCTCCATAGTCAGCAGTGCCTGTGTAAGGGCAGTAACATAGAAGCTTTTGACAGGGAATTGCAAATGCTAGAGACTGCAAGACATTGAAGAGCAGGGATTGACAGTCGCTTGAAGGAATTAGTCATGGGGCTTGATCCTCAGTTGAGCTCATGCTGGGTGCAGCTGAGTGTGGGAGACAGGTGGCTTTAAGATACCTCCCCAATATCAGGGCCATATGGGGCTGAATCAGCCCAACATAAATCGGAGCAGCCACAGGAATGGTCCCCCTAGGGCTCATAACATTGGTCCAGGATTGACAGAGCAGTACACTCATCGCCCACCCCTTCTCACCTCTGTCACTTTCTAGGCCTGCCCTGCAATGCCACATATATGGAGGGGAAGTCAAGGGGTGTTGGGTAACTTTATATCACTAGGAGCTTCCCCTCCATTAGAAGAACCCCCAACTTGCCCCTTTAGGAGTGTCACTGGAGCTGCACAAAGGGGACTTAGTTGTGGTCGAGTATCTGGCCCATAGTCTTAGGAGTTAGAGATGAAAAAGACATAGATCATTGTCCACTTTTAATTCTACCTGGGTCCTTTATCTAAATCACTTTCAAAATGTTGGGACTAGGGAAGGCCTGTCCAGTTGGTCATATCTGTCCAGACTTGCTCAGCTGAGGCTCATTAATGTGAGAGGCAGGTGCAAATCAAACCCCAGATACAAACACACCCAAACCTTTGGGCGTGTTCACAGTTCAACCCAGCTCTGAACTTCACAAATGACCCTCTGTTTTGGAAAAGCTGAATTGGATTGACTCACGCAGCCCATCAAAGCCAGTTCCTGATTCTAATTTTGCCAGTTGAATTCAAAGTAAGTATTTTGGAATCATTGTGAGACGTAGCAAGGAAGGAAATGGGCATTTGTCAACGCTTGAGGCAGAATGGCAACACTTCCTTGGGTGGGAACCTGTACAGGAAAAGATCCCTTGGAATTGGGTATTTACAAAAAACGTCTGATGCCTTGGTATGTCTGGCGCAGAGATGTGTAATTAAGTTTGTCTGGGGCTGAAAACAAATCTATGCATGTAAAAGGAAAAGATAGTCTTGACCAGGGGGTGAGATGTGCCCAAAATGCTAATTGAGACTAGATATCTGACAGCCAGCTGGACTATAATGGGAAGGGGATCACTGATCTCTCACTCTTGGAGCCCCTTCCACCTCTACTTTAATTTCTAGAACCCCTTTGCTGGAGACTGCTGCAGCTGTCGTTTTCCTCAGATTTCTATAAATCATGGAGATGGACTATCATGGCAAGAATAAAGCAGCAATTTAAGCACCGTGCACTATGCTCTTCTGATGTTCTACGGCTGGCTGTAAACTGCTTTCACATTAATAGATATGAACGCTGTCTTTAAACTATTAAACCACTGCTGGAATTTTATTGTGAGGGCACCCATTAGGTGACTCTGAGCTTGTGCTTTATGCGGACAGCACAGCCAGTCAATTCACTTGGCATAATCTGATGCAGATACCTCAGAAATTGGTGCAATTATTTATAAGACTCTCCTGGTGCCCATGGAGGATTGGGTTGCAAATGGATGAATGGAGTCTTGTGTTTTGTTTAAAAAAAAACAAAAACAAAAACCAGATAACTTCCAGAAGAGCACAAGGCAGGCCACCTCGGCCTAGTCTTCCCTGGGAACATTATTATCCTGCTGAGAGTTGTCCCTGAACACCACCTGGGACTAGTCTGGCCCTGGAGGGTGTGGAAAGAGTACTTGCCTAAACTTGTCTCAGCTGTAAGTAGCTCTCTCTGGCCCTGAGGGCCTCCCCCATGCCTTTCCCGACATGCAGGAAATGACACCAAATGGAACACAGCTGTTTTTTCCTCCCCAGCTGACAATGCTGGCTGGAGACAGGCAGGAAGCTACTCAGGGCTTCCTGTGTCACCTTTGTTCTCATTTGTTTGGTAAAGGTCTCTCTTTCCTCTGCATAGTGCCCCTTTGCTGTTGCCTTGTGTGCCTACAGGGAGGCCTTTCTGCTGTGGTTCTCCTTTAATCTCCTAAATGATCCCTTGCTGGGCTCCTGATCAGCTCTGGAACAAAATGGAAATCTTTTGGGTTTGCTTTCTCCTTCCCCCACATCTATTGACCTAAAACTACTGAACTTTGGCTCCCTCCTCTGCTTCCGCCCTGGAGCCATGCCGGTTGGACCTGATGATACCAATCTGACAGATCCCCTTTAGGAAATGTAACCTTTGGCTCTATGGAGACATGCATTTATTCTAACTGTGTTTTAAATAGCTGTCTGCCAGCAGGATCCCCCACTAGAGCTGAGACAGTTCGATATCCCCAGGAGAGTGGAAGGGACTAAATGCCTCACATCTGAGATTCACTATGCAACCTGTAACCAGCCTCTCGTCTCCCATTTCCTGCTTCCAGTCTCCTGCTGGTGCTCATTTACTTCTACTGGCTCCTCAGGTGTTTGGGAGTATCCATAAACCAGCCATATCCATTGTCAGGATACCCCGTTTGAAATTCATGTGAACTGGCCCATTGGGCTCTTGAATGTATCTGAGGATGTGTGCTTGTGAGTGGTGGAATTTGGTGAGCATGGTATGGAAGACTGAGGAGCCTTGAGTGAGATGGAGGCATCTTAGTCATGTTTGCCTGCACTGTTACTGCCATTCTGCACTCCGCTACACTCCCATCCTGCCTGGGACATAGAGAGAATGTTATTTTATTGGGGTTAGCCAGAGTCTGATAGTGTGAAGCTGTGAAATCAGAGGGAATAGGGATAATGTGTGTGGGGGGGTCTTGTCTGCCTGCATTAATCCATAACTCCTAAGGGTGTACATCTCCCCCTACCCTATACCTGGTTGTGGATACCTCTAGAAGAGTGGCTCTTCAACTGTGGTCAGAGGATGCTTCCTGGTGGTCTACAGAATGGAACACTTCAAGGGGAGTGGGATCCATGAGGGGGTCTGTTACTAGTGAAGGAATCCATCTACAGAATGGACATCTTGGAGAATCATGGCCCCATGCATATTTCTCCACAGCCAGGAGCTACTATCTGTGTAAACAGACAGCTGCTCCCTCCCACCCATAAGAGGAGATCTCCATGGGGGGGGGGGAGAGGAGGGGGAGGGAAGAGTGCACCTCATTTCAATGAGAGGAGGAGGGAGTTTCCTTAGAGGGTGGGGCTCCAAATAATCAAGTGACCCTTTGGGAACTTGCCAAAGGGGGCCAACAGATCTAGATGAGGGAGCAGAGATTCCACCCAGAGATCAGATTTCCCCCCATAGGGTTGGATGTGTGTCCTCTCCTCAGGCTGACTGAGATTGTTTGCAGGAGTGTGGGGACAGGCTGTTCAGACACCATGTGTTCTCATTTGAATTTCAGATCAGTCAAGTCCTGGGAAATGAAATAAAATTTGCTGTGCGGGAACCCTTGGGGCTCAGGTAAGTTTCCATGGAGAGTCTGAGCACTCAGGCTGTACAGTTGGGATGAGGCTGGTGACATTAAGGGAGGTCTTGGGCCTAAATATTTACATGGGCTGCTACCTTCTCCCCACTCCCATTTGCAGCCTTGCATCCTCCTTAGCCTTGCTAGCCACAGAAGGGTGCACTTGGGGCTACTTGTCAATACAATGGTCAGGGAGGCAGACACTTCTTATAACAGGGCACCTGTGCTGATGGGCTGAGCCCAGGTGGCTGTTCAGGCACTCCCAGGATGACCCTGAACATGGACAGGTGCCTCACCCATGCTGTATGTGTGTGGATGTCTCCTGTGCAGTAGGGGGTTTACTGGGTGATTTCCCCTTTGCCAGTAGGTGGGTTGTGTCCCCTGTGCGGGCTGGGTGGGTAGAGTATTACACTTCTGCAGTATGCACAGCAGATTTCTCACTTGTGTAGCGAGACTCTCACTTGTGTGAGGCATGGTGACATCCCTACCTCTTTGATGGGCCTGTCCCAGTTGTATGCTATGTGGTGGTATGAAGGTATCACTCACCTGTGCAGTGCAGATCCTCCAAGGTACCTAAGCATCTAACTTCCATTGAAATCAAGAGGAGGTAGGCACCTAAATTCCTTTGAGGATCTGAGCATAGGTGTCACTCATCTGTGTAATGGGGGTGGGGGGGGGTCGAGTGAGGACTCGCACTCTTGTATGGTGTCTAAGAGGGTCTCCCCTGTGTTCTAGAACAGAGTCCCTGGCGTTAAACATCATCTGGGATCTTACGTTAGGTCTCTGCCTCAGTGGTTATCTCTGAGCTCTGAATGTGGATATAGTACCATTTCAATACAAGGGGGTAAACCCTGCATTTTGAGCTGTTGCTGAGCCAGCGCTGGGAGAGTGACTCTCAGGGGGTGAGAAACCTCCGGGGCTGGCTTTGGACCTGGGAATTCTGTCACAAGACAGTTATATACTGCCCGTGTCCCAGGTGTGGACTGGATGAATTGAGTCTAATTATGTGTCCCAAGGTGTGCTGGGGCCTCTGTTATGAGAGGGTTGTGTGTGGTGGTTGGGTTTTTTTTTTGTTTTTTGTTTTTTTTTAAGCCATAGAAACTTTTTTAGGCAGCTGTGAGCAAGTTACCTTCAAGCTAAGGGACTACAAGGACTTGGGAGACTATGCAGCCTGTTGGCTACAAGCGGAAGTGCAGTGTCTTGTAGGAGAGGTTTGCCAAATGTGTCAGGGTGGAATCTTGAGTGAGTAAAGGGAAATAGTGGGGCTGTATGAGCTGATGAGTTTGGGGGTAAGCTGGGTGTGCCGGGGTTCTAGGCTGGTCTGTAGCTGATGGAAATGTCCAGTTGGGTGCCCAGCCCTTATTGGCTACTAAATCAAACCTTGTGACTATAGACAAGCCTAGAAGAGTGGCTGAAAGGAGAAAAACTGAATGTGCAATACCCCAGCCCATTAACCTACGCACTGATGCCCAAAGGAGACCTGTCCCTGCTCCATTGTGCACCACTGAAATCAATCAGGCCCAAATGCCCAGCTGACTTGTATATGGCAAAGGCTTCCTCAGTCAGATGCCCCGAACTGATTGTGTTCCAGCTAGCCAAGAAATCCCTTGGTGGTTATCTGTATTCCATGCTGGCTGCTTCTACTCAAAGACAGTCTCTCCATCCACATAAAGGATCACAAACTGAATTCCCTCTTCCCTGATATCCTGGGCAGGGGTGTCCTCTGGGATATATATACCTGGGGCCATCCTGCTTGGGCAGATGGAAGAGTGAGGGTTTGGGGAATCTCTGTGCCTCTGATCTGTTTTTCTTCCCATGCAGGGTCTGGCAGTTCGTCTCTGCCATCATGTTTTCTGGGGTCGCCATCATGGTAAGTGGGAGACCCATTCCCAGAAAGAGCCCAACCTGGGGCTACCAAAGTGCAGTCATGACCTAGCAATCTCCATGGCCTTATGCATTATTCTGTCGTCACTACCCTCCAAAAGCTGCTGCCACTGTCTCTTCCTGGCCTGTGATCAGCTGTCTCTCTGTAATGGGTTTTACCAACAGCTTCCCTGACAGTTCCTAACACCTGAGTCCCAGCCTCTGGTAGCAGGTTCATAAAACCAGAGTTGGCAGCAGGGGTCTCAGTCACAGAGGAGATCCTGGAGGCTATTCGTCTCTAATCCCACCCCCACAAGTGACCCAAAACACATGTAGCACCCCTGGTGTACAGTCTGCACTCTCCAACCCAGGGGGAGCTGCTGCTCTTCTACTTTTAAATTATCTTCAAGTGACCCGATCTCATGCAGAGCAATTGAGATTCCCTCTGTCTCCTTCCCGCTCCTTTTAGGCTCTCACTTTCCCTGATCAGCTCTATGATGCCGTCTTTGAAGAAGAATCCGTCAACAGCAAGACTCCTATCAGGCTGTACGGAGGAGCCCTCCTCAGTAAGTAATGCTGAGACTGAGCTTAGAGATTCAGTCCGTGGGACTAACAGGGGAGATGTTGAGAAGCTGAGTGAAGAATCCTAATGGGGAGGAGGAAGGAAAGCTCTGTACCAGACCTAACCTCAGATCGGGTTAGGACAGAGCCAGGCAACGTCAGGGTAAATTCCTCTTCAAGTGGTTTGTTTTTTTGTTTTTTGTTTTGGTTTGCAAAAAGTTCCATCTCCCTCCTAGCTCTAGGATCAGGAAAAAAACCCTCCCTCCATACTGTCTCTAATATTGTATTGCACCGTGTGAGGGGAGGAGATTGCAAGCTGCCAGAAATGGAATATTAGACTGGAAGGGCCATTGATAGGAACTGGTTCAACAGGAGGGGGTGGGGGAGACCAGGCTAGATGACGCATCTAGCCTTGATGCAGAACATGGGGGTACTGGGCTAGGCAAGGCATTGGCCTGTTCCAGTGTGGCAATTCCCTTGTCCCTCTGAGGCTGGAATCTTTGGGGGAAGCAGGGCTGCCTCTCCCAGCTCCATGTTCTGCCACCTCCAGCCTTAGTGAGCCTGGAAAGATTCAGAACACTAGTCAGCCCTTTTTCAGTGCCATGTGGGGAGGAGGAGGTGGCAGCAAAACTGGAGGGTGGAAGAGCTGAAGGTGGGAGGCTTAGGGAAAATGTAGTGCCGGCAGATTTCTCTTGGGAATTACTATGAATAAATTGGTTTTATGGAAGTTCAGACTTCCAGGATGGTGTGTGTAGTGGGGAGGGGAGAAGCTTGCCCTGCTGCCTTTCACTAGCACTAAACATACACAGACCAGGCCCACAAGGTCTGCTAACTCTTTGAATCTGTCGCTGGGATGCTGAGGATACTGTACAGAGGGAGTGATGGCTGGAGTGAGGGGACTGCTTATGACAGTGGGTCCAAGTGCAAGGTCTTATCTTTTAATGGTGGCAGGAATCACCCAAGGGTACTGTGCTTGGTAGATAGCAGGATCAGGGGTTCTGGTACATATGGAAAACCCGTTCTTTGCTTATCCACTGCCCATCTCCTCTCCTTAGCCTGTAGCAGCACCTGGTGGTGCAGAATGGAAGCACAGTACACACAGCCTGCTCTTGGAAACCCCCAGTTCTGTGATACAGCTCCCCTTTTGTTGGCCTCTGGTTTCCCTTTGTCTCCTCCAATATAAGGTCAGGACAGGACTTCGCTCTCTATGTACCAGGGCTGCTGAACAGTGGTGCTTTCTGGGAAAGGCATGAACATGACTCCGAGCCAAGCAAGGCAAAAGGCCGGCTCCAGTAATAAGCGTACACCTCTACCCCGATATAACACAAATTCGGATATAACGCGGTAAAGCAGTGCTCCGGGGGGAGGCTGCATGCTCCGGCAGATCAAAACAAGTTCAATACAACACGGTTTTACCTATAATGTGGTAAGATTTTTTTTTTTTTGGCTCCCGAGGACAGTGTTATAGCTGGGTAGAGGTGTATTTGGGAGCTGGATTTTGGGAGCTTGGTGAGTCATGTGGGGTGGTAAGCACAGAGCTGCAGGTGGTTCTTCCATACTGGGATGTCATAGACTGTCACGGTTGGAAAGGACCTCAGGAGGCCATCTAGTCCAACCCCCTGCTCAAAGCAGGACCAATCCCCAGACAGATTTTTGCCCCAGATCCCTAAATGGCCCCCTCAAGGATTGAACTCATAACCCTGGGTTTAGCAGGCCAATGCTCAAACCACTGAGCTATCCCTGTCCTGTATGTCCCAGTAAACTGCCTCCCTGACCCTGGGTTTGTTCACAAGGAGTCGCTCTTGTCCCCTCTCCATCCCACCACATTTGGAGTGTTTGCATTTCTAGTGCATGCATTACCATATTATCTAAGTGTGGAGGAGACCAGTTTGGTTACAGGATTCAGGCTGGGGCACTCTAGCAGTGTCAAGCCTGGAAGGTGGATCCATCCAAATATATTGCAGCAACCCCATCTGTAACTTTGGGCCACCACAGTAGATTACTCAGTTCCACCAGCACAGCTCTATCATGCCTATGAGTGTTAACTCCATGAATTAGTTGTTGTTACTTCTGAGATTCCCCGTAGAGTGGTCTCTGAGCTGACCCTTTCCCCTGCCACATCTCTCAGCCCATGAAGCAGTTTTGCTATGTGTTCTTGTCTCAGGTCTCTCCCTTATCATGTGGAATGCCCTGTACACATCTGAGAAGGTCATCATCCGTTGGACCCTGCTGACAGAAGCCTGTTACTTTGGGGTGCAGTTCCTAGGTGAGTAGCTCTACTGAGGCAGGAGGGAAGCAGAGGGGATTGGTCAAGTGATAGGCTATCCCTTCCCCACACGATTGCCTGGGAAGAAGGGAATGCTGTAAATGGCAAAGCAGCATAACTTGCACTGATTGGCATTCACTGGGGGGAAAGATTCTGCTCTTATTTACACTGGTGGAAATCTGGAGTCCCCTTACTGAATTTAGTGGCATTATCTAGACTTACTGTAGCGCAGCTGAAACCATAATTGGGCCTCTGGTGTTCCGCGTGAGTGAAACTTACCCAGTTAGAGGGCTGAAGAGCGAGGATACGGTAGAGGAGGCAAAGTCGTCAATGCAGTCTGACGCTTGTGGAGTGACCATCACTGTAATACCCAGCCCTCCTGGGCACAGTGGGGCTGAATCTCTGCCACCTTGCTTCGCATGTGGTCATCCCCAAACTGAGCAGTAAGGGGGCAAAGAGGGCATAAAACACTACAAAGTCACAAGAGGAGCTGTAGGCCAGTGGGATCCCTGATCAGCCCAAGAAGGGTTTAAATGCCGCACTCTGCATCTATTCAGGCCCTTTCTGCAGGCTACTGTTGATTTGTACCAACAACTTTCAAACAGTTCAACATAAATCTAATAACTACCTGGGACTTCCTTGCCAGAGCCTCCAGACTCATGTCAGCTCTTCCCCAGGTTGCCTATAGACCATTTGCCTGGGAAGCAACCGGTTTTCTATAGCAGTCTCTCTCTCAGCCTTGGCAGATATCAGCTGCTCATCATTCACCTGACACCTCCCCAGCTGGGTCTGATAATGCCCAATACCAGGCCCAAGCAGCTATTCTTAAACAGGCTCTGCCTCAGAATAGTCCTGGTTGCTCTTAAAGGAGTGGATTATGCTGTTACAGTAGCATGCCTGTGGAAAGTGGGAACAAAATAAATGACTGCACAAGGCAGTGGAGAATCAGGCTCAGAATCTTACATCCTCCTTGCTGTCTCTTTTCCCATTACCCTCCCCCATTCCTTCTACAGGGGGTGGAAGTTATAGTTGTGTGCACACCTATGGAATGCCAGATTGGTCCACCCAACTCTGTTTTGCCAGTAACTTCCACTTTCTGACCCACTTACCCCAGGCACTCTGCAGCAAGCTGGAGTTGAATTCTGCATTTAGGTCCCTCGATTCTGTGGCAGACTGGAAATTCTATGGTCACTTCACTTACATTAAAATGGAGGATTTTTATTACATGTGGGACAACATGCTCTGGTATTAAATTCAATATATTTTACACTGTTCACACCTGGTTTCCAATATGCCATGGTTTCTTGCATAGACAGCTCATTGACTGCTTTGTAGAGTTGCCATGTGGGGAAAGTGGCAGGTTTTGGTAGGGCATAGCTACAACTCATTAGCTGCTGGAGGTGTTTGTTGGTGAGATAAGCACATTTTTATTAATATTTCTGTTTTGAAGAAAATCAGCAATAAAATTAACACACTCGCTATTTAAGCTGTCAGCTGTAGGTTTCAGAATTAACACTGAGTAGGATATTTCAGGCTGTCTGCCTGAAGATAGGGAAAAGAAAAGAAAAAGCTCTAAGTGAAATTTTAAATGATTGAGTATTAGTCTAGGGCAAGGGATGAATGCCATGGCAAATTCTGTGACTGTGGAAATTGCACAATACATGGGACACTGTCCTTACTCCACTGCTGAATGTGGCCCCAGTATTCTATTTCTTTAAGATATATAATCACAGTTGCTTAAAGACTCAGTGAATAATGTAGTGGGGCAGCAGTGTTAGAAGCAGACAAACAGATCGATGGGCAGAAATTGCAAGGCTGTCTTATAGTTTTCAAGATGGATAAATCCTCTTTGAGAATTTCCACTACAGGACACTAGAGAACTGCAGTCTATTTAAATGTACTGTTATTTCACTATCAACCTGTGCCTTGTCTCCCTCCTTCTCCTTCAGTTACCACCATCACCCTTGTTGAGAGTGGCCGGATATCCACAGGTGCCATGCTCCTCCTCACCAGCCGGATCCTCTTCACCCTCATCACCGTTTACTATTATTACCAAGTTGGACGGCGACCCAAGAAAGTCTAATCCCTGAGGATTTTTTTTGGCGGGGGAGGAGGGGTTCTGTTAATAATTTTCCTTTTATTTTTTTTTTCTGGTCCCCCTTTTGTTCTAAAGCAATTCTCCTTTTTTTCCCACTTACCAGCATGAATCAGTGTGTAAACCCAGGGCTGGCTCCATTGCCACAAAGCGCAGGGGGAGAGCCGACCCCTGCAGCCCTCCCCATATCTGTCTAGAGAAGGCAAGTGAATGCAGCAGGGAAGGCTGACAAGACGTAAGGACCAGTCAGGCTCAGGGACAATGGAGGAAACCGGCCAGTGGAATCACAAGCTCAGAAACCTTTTCAGCAAAGCACAAAATGATTGCAGCACATAGAAACTGAATCCTAGAGGGGAGAGGAAGCAAAGGCAGCTGGCAAAGGACTCAATCTAGCTCCTGTAGGCTTGGAGCTGCTCATTTGCCTTTCACTCACACATAGAGCCTTTTCCCCCTTTAGTGAGTAGACTTCAGCACTAATCCTGGCCAGCCCTCTAAGGCAGGGCTGCTGACACAGCTCCAATCAGATAGTGTTGTGGTTTTTAGAGACAACACCCACTGTATTTACTCTGTGCTGACAGATGCAATAGCAATGCTGGCAGAACACAGTGGCTTAAATACAGCAAGAAAAGAGGGTGGCATCTTTATTCTCTCTCATCACAATCCTGTGAAACTCCAAGCCAAGCTACATCTAAATCTTGTGTGGCTCTCTGTAAGGGAGAGTGGTGCAAAACGATGGAGAAAACACTTGGGTTGCATTAGGGGAGAAATGTAAAGAGCTGTTGAATAGTCTCTAAGACTGAATAAGCCTCATCTTGGAAGTTTGGTATATAGTCTAGGCTGCTGCTTGTATTTTTTCCCTTAATTCCTATTACAGTAGTTCCCCTGCGGGTAACACTAGTGAGTGCACTAGCATAGATCAGCCAATGACACTTTAACCAGTCCCCTACTTTGGTTTAGATGAGGCCATGGTTAAAATACTCCCCTTATGTCCTGTCTATGCTAGAGCCCCCTCTTTGCTACTGCTTGTGGAGCTGTATCAGTGTTAAGGAGAGTGAGGAAAAAGGCTCATGTCAATGAGGACTGCAGGGGGTAAATCACTGTTCTGTAGGTACTTGTGTGAATCTTACTCTAGTGAAGTGAGGGACTAGATGAGCCAGCTGGTCTTCTCCACTCCTACTGTACAGGTACCAATTTCCCCTTGGATTCAGCAGAAAAAAGGACCCAGTGCTGAGGTCTTATGTCTTCAGGATTCGATTTGGCTGGGATAAAGAATGGCTGAGCAGGGAAAAGTACTAGGCCCATCTTGCCTTCCCCAGGCATTCCAAGACTTCATTATTCCCTGACCATTGCCTCTCATTGCTCTTGAGGCTGAGGAGGACTTAACCCTGGCTCCACAGCAGTGGCTCTTCTATGCTTCTAGTGACAATCCTGGAGAAGATAGTAGGTTGCCCCACCTGCTTTCCAGTACCATGCTGCTTGTTCTCCACTGTACTGAAATCCAAAGGATTGGACAGATGCCATGGACTTATTCATGTACCACCAGGGGGAGCTGTTGGGCTGGACCAGTCTGTGCACAGGAGTAGAGCTGACAGACCTGGAATAAACGTGTGCAGGCTCTTGGCTGTTGAGAATCAGAACTGTCTGTGAATAACAGAGCTAAGGTGGCTGCTGAAGAACACTAGCTTTAGGGGCCACTTCTTAGCATCAGCCAGAAAAAAAAACTGATTTAAAGTTAACATGGACATCCACTGAGCATTCATGGTAAAGCCTGGCACATCTTCACTACAGCTCTCCCCTAAAGCTTGTTTCTGTTACCTGCTTCTGGCACTTACAAACAGCTGCAGGAACTTGCCCTGCTGTGTACCTTGCAATGTCTGTGTCAAGTGGAAATGCTGAAAATATTGGAGCTTATACTAAATCTTTTAACCAAAACAAAAAAAAATTGATAGGCCCAGTGCAGCGAGAGGTTAAACTCTGGACCCTAAGCTACTTGCTGGGGCTGAGTGGCCCCAGTCTGGCCCGTAGAAAAGAATATATAGTTAAAATTTATCATGCACCTCAGGGGTACTGTCTGGAATGGAACCTGTAACAAAGTGGATCGTGGGTTTTTTTGGGTTAATTTCATTTCAGCAGGACTAAGGCAGGTTCTAGGAAAGGATCTTTCTGGGGGGGGAGGGGAATGGGTAGAAAAATGCTGCCCCCAGCATACACCACTGGCTATCAGGGCTCAATTTGTATTAATCAATGCAGCATAGCTGAATAGGCTTTAGCTATGAACCACTGTCAGAAGGCCCCACCTCTGCATCTGCCATGGCAGTGAACCAGCCAGCAGACGTTGCTCAGGTTTGGTTGCAATCTAGTTTAGGTTGATTTCAGGATTTCCAAAGGGGTTTTCAAGCACCTAAACTTCCCTAGAAGCCCCAGCCCCTCTCCCTTGTTTCTGCATGGGAGTGTCAATTGTTTTGCTGCTATAATTTCAAGTGTTTGACCAAATGGGTAGCTGACACAATGATTCTGCTCTCTGGTGTTTGTTACCCCCTCCAGCCTAAGTGATGTGGAGAGAGCAGAGGGGTACTGGCCATAAGGGGCAATTCAATGCTAATCAATATAAAGGCCTGCTCCCACGAAGAGACAGATCAAATGGAGCATAAACTCAACTTACTCTGCAATTCTCATTGCTCTTCTTCCCCCCCCCCCCCCCCCTTCCATGTAACAAAGTGCTATTGGTGCCATCAGGACTGGAGCAGGGATGGACAAGTGGGGGTGGGTAGAGGGAAGTCTGTAGCACACTAAATTTGCAAATGTGATGTGCAGTGAGAGCATATGGAACATGGGCCCAGGGTTGATGCATACAGAGACCGGAGGGTATGTCTACACTGGAGTTGGAAGTTAGCCAAGTCTGCTGTAGCTGCACTTCCAGTTGGAGTACTAGCATGATCAAATCTCTCTTAGAGCTGCAGTGGGGCTGTCTCATGGGACTGGAATTTACACCTTTCAGCTCTAATGCAGAGAGAGATGTACCTTGTCTGAGAAGGAATGTGCAATCCTCCTTGGCAATTGCTAGTTAGCAGCTGACAGGTGCACTCCACCATTAGTGATGAGTAACAGTGGGGAATGGCTGACCCTACAAGGGACAGTGAGAGGGATTTTCAGGCTCAGGGCTGGAGCACTGTGCGTATCCCTAAGGGAAGGACCCAGGCAATACCATGCAGCACTGCCAAAAGCTTACAGCTAGCAGGGGGTTGCTGCCTCAGTTTTGGCTTGACTGGGGGAGTTTATAATTGTATTCTAGAATTAAATCCTCCAGCAGAGATGAACCACATATTAGTCACTGCTGGATGGTTTCTTCCACTCTACAAAGGTAGGTTAGGCAGCAGGTACAGGGCAGCACCTTGCTGAAATTTCACAGGGACTGTGCCTAGAAGCACAAGGACAACTACTAAATGGCAGCCTAGGCTAGCAGCCAAAAACACAGGAGGCAAAAATTCTCAGGCTTTAATACTGTCTCTGCCACTGACTAGCTAGATGCCCATGGCCAAGTCACTTCACCTCCCAGGCATCAGTTTCCCCATCTTTGAAATAAGGGTAATGAACCTCACTTATCCTGAGGGAGAGAGGGGCAGCATTGCAAGGTGTTTGTGCAGCCCTCGGTACAGCTGAGAAGTCTTCTCCAGGTGACTGAGTTCCGAACAAAGACAAACCTGCATTTACATAGTAGGTTCCTGTGTCTGCAATGGGTGGAACCAAAACCTTGGATTCTTACAGCCTGAAACTTAAGCTAAAAATTCAAGCAGGTCCCTGCACTTCCTGGCTCAACCCTTCCTGACCTCAAGGCAAGCCGGTGCTGGCACTGGAGAGGAGAAAGGCACACTAGTCCCACAGCTACGCCCTGAGCCAGCCAGCCTTTCCTGTCTCTTAGGTTTTTTGGATTCAGTTTATACCTCATCTTAGCTGAGTTTATTCCTCCTTTGGTAAAAAAGTGACTGTACTTAACATAAAAAAAACCCAATCATGTGAATAGTGAAAATTAAAGATGTCCCACTGCACTGTCACAATACCTTTATTTATTTTTATTTTTTTAAGAAATGCACACAAATTGTGCAGAATGCTTCAGGCTCGTGTTCTGGTTTATATTACAAAAAATCCTTTCAATATAAAAAGCATTACAATAGGCAATAGAGGATAAATTAGCTCCACTATCTAATAAAAGGAACATTTACAATTTTTAAAATAGATTTCAACGTTCTTTCACACGCAGGCTGTTTCCCAGGCACTCGCAACAGTAATTTTAGAGTTAAATAACAGACAGGGAGGGGGTGGACTTACAGAAACAAACTGCTCTAGATAATTACATGAAAGGTGCATGGGCTCTGGGCTTCGTTCTACAGCATAGGGGCTAACACTGTGGTGACTCCGTATAGGTTGCTTTCCTACACAGAGCTCTCAAGTGAGGAGCGATTATACTTCAACACCCTGCCCCCAAAAGAATGCAGCAGAAACTCAAAAGGGAAAAAAATTGTTCCTCTGCCCAGAGCTCTGGGAAGAACAAGACCCAGCATTGTTGATTATACAGCATGAGACAGACAAAGGCAGTGACACATCATGGTGATCAAAAAACAAAACTTGTGTGTCTCACAGTAACAAAGGATTCCCCATTCTGGAGTCTCCTGTTCATTAAAATTCCATGGAGGAAATTCCTCACCTTTCCCCTTGACTCAATCCCCAGCATTTCAGATGATCCAAGATGGTTGGAACCTGCATGAGGGGTTTGTGCATCTCTTAACAGTCCTCTCCATTTCTTTATTGGAGGGTGCTGCTTCCTGGTTTCTTGAGGGTGTCTCAGGCCAGGATGAGAATTCAAAATGATCTTAAACTGGAGAAATACTCTGAAGTAAATAGGATGAAATTCAATAAGAACAAATGCAAAGTACTATACTTAAGAAGGATTAATCAGTTGCACAAATACAAAATGGGAAATGACTGCTTAAGAAGGAGTACTGTAGAAAAGGATCTGGGGGTTATAGTGGATCACAAACTAAATATGAGCAAACACTGTAATGGTATTGCAAAAAAAAGCGAACATCATTCTGGGATGCATTAGGAAGAGCATTGTAAGCCAGACATGAGAGGTAATCCTCTACTGAGCACTGATAGGGCCTCTTCTGAAGTAGTGTGTCCAGTTCAGGGCACCACACTTCAGGAAATGTGGACGAATTGGAGAAAGTCCAGAGGAGAGCAACAAAAATAATTAGAGTTCTAGAAAACATGACCTACAAGGAAAGATTGAAAAAATAGGATTTGTTTAATCTGAAAAAGAGAAACTGAGGGGAGACAGTCTTCAAGTTTGTAAAAAGTTGTTATAAAAAGGAAGATGAAGGACAAAAAGTAATGGTCTTAAATTGCAGTGAGGGCGATTTAGGTTAGATATTAGGAAAAACTTCCTGTCAGGGTGGTTAAGCACTGGAACAAATGACCTGGGGAGGTTATGGAATCTCTGCCATTGGAGATTTTTAAGAAAAGGTTAGACAAACACCTGTCAGGGATGACCTAGATAATACTTAGTCCTGCCATGAGTGCAGGGGACTGGACTAGATAACCTCTTGAGGTCCCTTCTAGTCCTACATTCCTGTGATTCTAGCCCTTTAAAGAGAGGATATGAAGATTTCAGCAAGAACATAAGAATGGCCATACTGGGTCAGACCAACAGTCCATCTAGCCTACTATCCTGTCTTCTGACAGTGGCCAGTGCCAGGTGCTTCGGAGGGAATGAACTGAACAGGTAATCATCAAGTGATCCATCCCCTGTTGCCTAAGGGGAGAATGGGGGGAGATGACAACTGCACAACAGGGGCAGGGAGGACAGAAAAAGGGAAGCAAAAAAGAAGAGACAAGAGGAACATGTGGGTGAGATTAGAGAGAGTGAGAAGACAAGATGGAAAAAAGAAAAGTTATTTTATCTGAGAGAGAGAAAGGGACACAAATGAAGAGGAGAAAGCTAAGAGAATAAATAAATGGGGGAAGGAGAGAGAACAACCATTACAGAGGAAAAGAATGGAGGGAATTTAATAAAAAAAAAGATGAAAGAAAGTGATAAATGGGAAAACCAAAGGGGAATAAGCCTGGAAAAGCAACATTTAGTATTTGCTATTGTATTATCCCTGTTCCTCCACATGCTGACAGACTCCACTCTGGAAAAGGCACACCCAGAGGATGTCCTTTCCAGGTTTGAATCATATTCTTTGTGCTGTAAGCAGAGAGCTGTGTTTTTTGTTTCAATCACAACTCCAGGCCAGGCAGGGCCTTCCCCTCCATCTGCTAAATTTCAAGACCCAATTTGGGCCAAAGGGACCCACCTTTCACAATAGAGCAAGAAATTAAGGGGAAGAAGGGAGGACTCCGAAAGCAAAGGAGATGGGTTGCTCCTCCAGACACCAAGAATTCTAGCTGCCACATGTTAGGCACCCAGAGATCCAGACACCAACTGACAAGAACAAACTTTCCTGCTGTTTATAGTGTTTTGGATGTTAGCTACTCAGGTTCTATTGCCAGCTACAGACTCTGGCTATTATAAGCAGAGTAATGGGTGGTTGTTTTGGCTACTACTTACTTCCCCTCCCCCCCCCCCACCTTAACAACTGTGTTCTTTTAGTTTTTTCCTCCCTTGGGAATCACTCTCCTCCAGTGTGCACACTGACTATCTCTTGGTGCAGGGTCCCACAGCCTTTTCCCTTCATCTGCCTGTATCTAGAGAGGAACATCAATTATTGGGTCTGTCCCCATCTTAGTGGATTAGCACAATGTTCTGGCTCAGTTCCCCCCATGCACATACTTCTTATGGTGGGTTGACCATTCAGAAAAACTCCTTGCATGCTAGACCATTAAGTGCAGCTGACTTTTTTTTTTTTAAGTTTTTAGGAACAAATTAGAGAGACTTCCAGCAGGTGCAGATACTGCCAGTTTTGCTAGCAAAGCCACTTTCCTTCTTCATTGTACAAAGGAGCAGAATTTAACTCTCAAATGCATCATTAAAACTGCTCCTAGGGGTAATTACCCATAAGCCCTTTCAATAAAAGCATCTGAGGCCTTTCACTGTTCAACAGCCGTGGCCACAATTCCAACATTTATCCACTGCTGACTTCATTTGTGGGTGGGGACAGATTTTCTTCATGCCCATGTCCAGATTTCTCTGATGATTAGACTCCTGTCTCCAAGAGATTTCCACATGTCCTCAGAAACGCTGTATGTGAGGTTCTAATGTCCTGTTCTCGTCCTTCAGCAGCCTAACTTTTCACCCTGGTGGGTATTAAGTCAAGGTCCTTTGCCATCTAGTAGGCAGACCTGGTAGGCTTCACCATGACCTACATAGTCACACGTATCTGCATGGTCCCTCCTAGGAAATCCCCGAGGACATGGGCCCACTTCTATCACTGTAAATGCTCCACCTTGTCTTGGAGCCTCAGTTCTATCCTTCGTAACCCTCCATCAAGGTCCTTATGTATTTTTCTCAGGTTTGGTTTTAAATGATTAAATGGATGACACTATTTAAATGTCAAAGTGGCATCTCAATGGAGGAAACCTTAATAATCCAGGCGGCTATGTTAAAATGACTTTAGTTGATTCCACTCTCTTCTCAGCCCCTTGGGACAAGCTAAAGGGAAACTCTCAGATCATAAATGAAGCCACAAGACTCACAAAGGAAATAGTGTGGGAGACAATACAAATGGGCCCCTTTGCTACCAGTACCATGTTTGGGAATTCCCCACCTGGCTGGAAGGAACATTGGAACCCAGTGCAGATAATTAAGCTAACAGAGCACTACAAAAGTACAAACTACAATTTTGCATGTCGGAGTTGAGTGGCCAAGATTTAGAAGACAAAACAATATGCCCTTGCCATGAGGCTGGCAGCGTCAGCTATTCTTGGCCAGACCAATCATTTTTAAAGGCGAGAGGGGTAAGATCAGGATTCAGGAACCCCTTGCTCTCCTCCAGTAAAACACTGAACAGAAAACCAAAGTGACAGAGTAAATAAGGAAAGATATGCACCAAATTTTTGATTGCATCTCAGCCCTCTGCCAGCTCCCATTAGAGGAGGATCTTCCTCATTTCCCACAGGGTCACATCCCCTTTGGTGGGATTCCAGGGAAAGGCATGCCCCACTCCACGTAGTCCAAGGGTTCTCCTGGAGGTGTTAAGTGATGGTAGTTGACCCTCCTCTACTGAACATGTGCTTCCATTTCCTGGCTGGCAGTTAAAACTTTAGACCAGAAATGGAAATTAGTAAACAATGGCTGCCACAGTTTTCTGTATATCAAAAGCCCTTTTTGTCTGGTCATTTGAAACTTGCCTGACCTTTACCCCCATGTGCTGTGGTTGACCTGCTTCCTTTGGGTACTGAATCGAGCCCCTGTGTTGCATTATACAGTTCTTCGCTATGTAAAACAATACAATTGTGAATATACTAGGCAGTGTCCTGCTCTGATGGGGACCATTTCAGTTGCCTTCCCTCCCACCCACCCTGCAGGCTCCGTCAGTCTCTAGTGCAACTCATTGCACTTTGCTCCTGATCAATGTCTGTGCAGGTTGCTCTGGGAGAAGGTCGGTGTGGCGTAGCGTAGTGCACAGCACCTCAAAGTTCCCGCCCCTGAAGTACAATCCATTTGGTCATTCATATATTACAACCCTTTTTTGTTTCCATTTTGCTAAAAAAATAAAGTTTTTTCCCTCTCTTTTTTTCGGTCTTTCTTCCAAGTACATAGGAGCATTGCAGTTGCTCAGGGGGCACCTCCTACTGGATCCCTCGAAAGAGACACATTGCAAAGATCATGGCAAACAGCTGGAAAGAGATGAGAAAGAGAAGGACAAACAAAACACAGCCATCAGCCACATCTTACAGAACAATGAAAAACCCTTACTGAGGCCTACGGCTGCCCTGACTTAATATAGACTGAATGAGAAGGGGGAGCTTTCCCCACGCGAACCAGGGAGAAAGAGAAGGCAAGGCATTGCTTACCCAAGCCTGGGAGAGAAAAGGGTTTTAGCAGAGAAGAGGC